TATGCTCCTGTCCATCCCAAGCAAAATACTAAGCCGCATCATCCTGGAGAGAATCAAACATGGCACTGGATGAAAAACTTCGACCGGAACAGGCTGGATTCAGGAGAAACAAGTCATGCATTGATCAGATCGGCACATTACGGATCAACATTGAACAAAGCTTGGAATGGCAGTCACCTCTCTATCTCAACTTCATCGACTTTGAAAAGCCCTTCGACAGCGTCGATCGAGAGGTGATTTGGCAACTACTTCGCTACTACCAAGGGGGGCCACCGACAATTATACATCTCATCCAACAGCTGTACGACAATGCTGCATGCCAAGTAATCCACAACGGGAAACTTACGGAATCCTTCAAAGTGAGGACAGGAGTAAGACAAGCTGGCTGCCTACTATCGCCAATGATTTTCCTGATTGCAGTAGACTGGATAATGTGACAAACAGCGGGCAATGAGGAAACAGGCATAAAATGGACTCACACCAAATACTTGGAGGATCTGAACTTCGCCGATTATATATGTCTGATTTCCCACAAACTGGAAGATATGCAAGCGAAAAGCAACAAGTTGGCAGAAGAAGCATTCAGAGAAGATAGGCTTTCAGGTGAACATAGAGACAAAACAGAGGCGATGAAGATTCCTGGGCGACACCACCAACAGCAACGACAACAACAGACAACAATCAGCATAAATGGGAGGAACCTGAAAGAAACAACCTACTTTACCTACCTGGGAAGCATCGTTTCAACTACAGGCGGAACTGACGAGGATATCAAAGCAAGAATCGGAAAAGCAAGACAAGCTTTCACTACTCTCAAGTCTGTGTGGAGGTCAACAGCACTCAGCATGAAAATGGAAATAAGATCCGGATTTTCAACTCCAATGTGAAGTCAGTGCTACTATACGGATCAGAGATTTGCACTGCGCGTCATAAAGAGCATCTCGAACAAACTACAGACCTTCATTAACAGTTGTCTTCCCTCAATACCACTCAAGATCAGATGGCCAGCCATAAAAGATCAGCAACAGAGATCTCTGGCAATGAGCATACCAACCAGGAACCGATTGTGCAACAAATAGGCAGGAAGAAATGGAGATGGATTGGCCATACTCTGAGGAAACCATCAAGTGACATCTCTAGACAAGCCATCGCTCGAGTGGAACCCGGAAGGGAAGCGGCGAGTTGGTCGTCAGTGCAAGGGTGACTTGGAGGAGGTCATGTGAAAAGGAGACGAAAACGTGTGGGCATACTTGGAGCCAGGTGAAGACTCTAGCAGAGAACCGAACGCAATGGAGACGCACGGCTGAAGCCCTATGTTCCTCTAGGGATTAAAGGAAACAATAATAATAATGCAGACGGGGCATTGGTTACTTCCGCTGTGGGAGAAATTTATTTGAAAGCGTCTCACAGTGTTATCACAATCTTCATATGATTATGAACAAAAAATTATGTTAGAGACATCATCAGTAAGTCTTACTGTATAACACTGCGGGGCTGTCAAATAAATTTTCTCCAGAATTGAACTATACTATCATAAAGTGCTCAAGTTCTCCTCCTGTACCTGAGAATTCATTCATGTCTGATGTGAAATTATTCCACCAATGCAGATAAATGGAATCCTGGAAGATGAATACTGCTGAACAGATGTTATGAGGAGTTGTTATTATTATTCATATTAATGTAATCGAACTTGGCTTCGCTTTTCCATTTTTCCCCAGTCTACGTTTTTGTAATATTTATCAGTTGCCCTAAAACAATTGAATATACTGAAATGCATAAAATGCTGTTTTTGTGTGCACACTCGTAAAACAAGCGTAAAATATACCAATCAGCCTCAAATAGCAATAACGCGAAAGTTCCACTGAGTGTAACCTTAAAAATTCGCCAGAATTTGAGGCCATTTACACGGCTTTCATTGCATTCAGAAGGAGTTCACTGATGATGCAAGATTTGGTGGCGTTAGGCTGTTCAATATCCTTCATATGCCACTACTAAGGGCTCCCCTTGTCATGCAGCTGCGAATGGAAGTCAGTTCTCAGTGATACAAGTAACTCCTAAGTCATCGACATAGTATCATTCCAAACGAGCCTGTCAGCGATGGAAACGCTTCTTGCCAACTTATAACCGTGAATGGTCTGTTGTGGAGAGGTTTCCGAAGAACAAAGAAGCACAAATCAGTGAATTTGAATGATTCATGTCAAACAATGCTATTTTGCTTTCCATAAATTCTAGTCATGTAGCGCGAAACATTTTGTACAGGGCTACCAACATCAGAAGCATCTGTCTGACTTCCTGTCAGGGAAATTAGTTTCCCTCTTATACAAACTGTACTTCTATTAGCAAACGATGCTGAGTTTTACATTCACTAACATCGTAAAGTATGTTAAAAGGGGATAATATAGAGCACATATCTATTCTCTACTGTCAGCACTCATTATTTAGTTCCCTCGTTTTTCCAGGTGGAGTGTAGGGAACACAGCACATCTCCATTTCACCCTGTTCTCTGCAGTTTTCTTTAGCCGACTCAACGAATGTCCATAAGCTTTCATCTCTTCACATGATCTATTGCAAGTCGTCCTTGGAATCTTGTTGTTTCACACTTGTGTTCAACTTGACAATCAGGCTCGTGATTTTACTCAATAGTCTCCACAACATAGGTCCAGTCCGCCTGCACTTTCCGACAGTAGGCTCCTGGTTTGTTCCCTGCCTGCCAGAGCATTTTGCTTATCCCTTCTGACCATCTGTTTTTTTAACATGGAATAGAGGCAACTGTTGATAAACATCTGTGGCCTGTTGGGAATGCCTTCAGTGATGCGCATTAATTTCGATTTCATTGTGAGAATGCTATACAGGATTGACAGTGTGTCGTGGTCCAAATTCACTTGCATGCCATAAACTAAAAACCGTCTTAGAAGATGAAAATTCCAGTCGTTACCATCAGACCTACGTTAACGTATAATGGCATCAAAAGTGTGCAAACTATCTTTCAGTGATGACTGAAAGGAGCTGCTCTGGACGTTTTTAAGAAATCTAGAGAATAGTTCAGCTATAGCACTGCATGCAGTCACACACAACCACACAATAGGATGGCATAGGATGACAGTTTTAAAATCTAATGTCACAGGGTATAGGGAGAGATTGATAACAGAAGCTTTGTTTATCGAATCAACTACAAATACATGTAATAGGAATGATTCATCACCTGTCCCCGATATCTGGAAAATTCTACTCCCCCTACGACAAATAGGAGAAAACAAAGAAAGCTATAAAATTCAAGTGTCAAAGTCGTGTGATCACAATTGATATGATTATGAACAATAAATTTTGTTCGAAACGTCGTCCAGTAAATAATACTGTTTCACTGTGTGATATATCTAATAAACAAACTAATATGGAATTACTTACTACCACAGTGCCCAAGTTTTACACATATATTCATACTGGGTAATGTATCTACCTACGCATCCGGCCAGATATGAGTAGTCATTCAGGAGTGGAAGCGTAGTGTGGATGTCCAGATGAACCCAGCCACTAGTGAGTCAGGTATGGCTTAGGGTGCCCATTTATATACTGCATGATTTGGTAGGATAAGGGCTTGTCATAGATGGACTGTTTATATCCAACGAGTCATGGTTCTGAAGTTTTTCTAAGGTGACGCCAGAAGTTTGTAGCTACGCTACCATCGTGAAATCAATAGTTGGAGGCATTGTAGAGGTTCAAATGTAAGACAGTGTGTCCGCAGCAGGATTATTCACATTAGAGAAACGACAGTTGTCCGACATGAATTTTAAAATACGGTAAAAATCAGTCAGTGTGGAGCATAAACAGCTGGATCCATGATTGATGAAAAAAGGAGACCCTCGAGCTTCAACATGCAGAATTAAGCGTGTGATTGATCCGCAGATTACTACGAGTTTTCGACAGAATTAATACTCTTAAAAGTAAGCTGGGGTGCAATGCAGCTCTAATAGCCGCTCTAGAAACACCAATAATATGCTGGAGGGAAGCCTGATGTTCACCAAGTAGTAGCACATGTAGTGGCCATCCTGGCTTTTATGTTGTTTATGTTTACAGTTTCTCACATACGTCTGAAAATATTTGTCGTAGCACTTCAAATGCGCTCATAATATGAGACAAAGTGTCAGTGAAAACTCATTACATCGAACTTGCGCATATTTAGAAACCAACCCTGTCGTCGTAATAGTTTTTCAGTTTGCCACCCGACTGCTCGTAATACTGTAGAAGACTAATGATGTTTATGAACCTTCATTTTCGAAAGCACACCAGCGGACATGTGAAGCGACGAAAACCTAGTCAAACGAAGGCAAGGGAGTTCATTATCCAGTAGACGAATAAAACTCTGCAAGCAATAAAGATATAATTCCTTCTTGGCATCTCTTTATGTCCTTCTGAATTCCTCAGTTAAAACATCTGAGTGGTCACAGCATATACTGTGGTAGAGGCCCTATACGCAGACATCTGAGGCTTTTCCATAGTGGAAAGTCTATATCTGTCTCTGTCTTTGCAGGCAATAGATGGATGTCATGTTTGTCGATTAGGCTTGTCATCAAAGTCACTGACTGATGAACAGCCTAGTACTTCTCCAGAGTGGCTTTTATAGAAGTTCCCATTAGTTAGCTGTGAATTCACTGTGAGTCATTAAGTTTGGTTTCTAACTCTTGACTAGTTATCAGATGTCGACCTGCTCTGAAGATGTTGTCTAGGAGGATTACGAGGGCCTCGCAGTTAAATCAAGAGGCTTAGATAACACAACTAAGTAATCCACCTCAGCTGCAGTAAGGGATACTGCATGAAGTAATATAAGGTTTTCAAAGATCAATTGTCACACTATCCACTTAAGGAAGATCTTGTTACAAGGTGTCAAAACGGATTTCTCAAAAATAGGTCTTGCGTTACTTGCCACTTCGACTTTTTCAACTGCATCACTAGTAGTCGTGAAGCACATAGGCTAGTTGTTGTTCTCTACTTCGATATATCTAGGCCATTTGACATGGTATCCCTAACCTTTACGTCACAATCAAGAGGCGAGCACAAGGAAATCAAATTGGTTTATACTAGCTCGTCAAGACGACATTGGATATTGGAAGGTCACATTTTCGGCGGTCGGGTCCAAATATTTAGTACTTAGCGGAGGAGGAATAAGATATTCACCCTCAGGTTAGCTAGAACCGGTTTATTTTGTGTATGTAAGATTATAGTGGTGTCAGATTTAAAAGATATACCCTAAAATTTTTGCGTCAAACCTCTTCCGGCTTATCAGCTAATGGAAAAGTGATACCCTATGTGTCCTACAGGTTTGGGTGGGAATAGAGTTACGTTGGTGGAATACTTAGTCCCCATAATAATTCGTGTTGTTATGTCTGCCATTGTGTTGGTATGTTAAATAAAGTTCTCTCCTGTGCCTAACACTTATGACTCATTCTTGATCAGATTATTGACTTGTTTTCTAATGGTTATTGACCTTCATATTGTGTACGTTGGGTTGCTCGTGAAATTTAGGTGCCTAGTCAGTTTACAGGCTGTGCAAAACTTGTGTTGTATGCTGTTGTCAGCTAACAACTAGAAGTCTTAATGGCACGAACACATTCATTCCCAGATTCATTAAGTTCTAATTTTTCCCCATATGACTATCCTTTTCCTTCATAAACTTCTTGTTATAGTTCCATTAAGTACCACTAGTCGCTTCTGCCTTTTAGGGCTACATGAAGCTTTGCAGCTTCAACTGTTTCGCTTCGTGCTAAGTCTTGTAACTTTTTGTAACTTAGTCAAGAATAGTAGTTCACGTTTTTATCATTGTCAGGAGAGTTTTAAATTAAATACTAGCAATGTTCATTACTGTTACCGTAACTGAGCAATTTCTAGGACTGCACTTTGTTGGTTTGTTTGAATGGAGATTCCTAGAATTCAGAAATTTGTGTCGTTTTATCCAGCTGTTGCACTACTACTGCACTTCTGTACAAAGTTCTACGTTGAAACTCACTTAGTAAGCGGTTCGTACTCCAATTATGCTGTAGCATATATGGTTGTCTCAGGATAATGGAAGTTATGAAATAAAGTTTTAGCTCTTAGAAAGTAATTTCATTGAAAAGTTCATCACACTTTAGTGTTGCTCTGTTTTGTGCGGTTTTATGTCTTCACTAAACTACCTGTTTATTCAAGTCAGAAAATCCTACTGGTTTTCTAACCCAGTAAATTGTCTTTCAATACAGAGCCTCACGTTATTCAGACATGTAATAGACCTGTGCAACCTCAAACCTGGTCTTATGAAGCTTATTGTGTATTCTGCTCTAGTAGTCCACGAACCGTGTGTTCACATTTTCATATGAATATATCTGGTTGCAATTAGTATTTTTACTAAATAGACTAAGTCGAAAAACATGCACCGAAAACATTCGAAATCAGAAATCATGAATGCGGTAAATATAGGCTGATTTATCTTAGCACTATGATTAGGACTAAAAGTGTGAAATAATAAAATCAGTGGTTAGTCGTACTTCTTAATTAGGGCTTGTGCATACATCTATACATATTACCATCTTCAACTATTTGGAGCTATTTCAGTCCGTAGTATCATAAATTATCCTTCATCCGGTGTATTATACTCCATCGAAAGCTGATGTAACCGTGCTACACGCCATTCAAAAATATTTCAAAACTCATTTCAACTGATTTTGTCATCCATTTTTCGTGTAAAGAAGATAAAAATCCTGTTCTTCGAAGATACTACAATCGGTATTCCAAGAAATCAGAGGATATATCTGCGATCAGGTTTCATCGATCATTTACTTACGTGTTGATTTTTCAGTTAGAGTATTTAACATAAAAAGCTGTCCAATCCTAGATATATTTAGGTTAGCTTGTAACAGAATGCCATTCAAGTATATCCTCTCTGTTCGTGATGAAGTTGTGATACCAATATTGCTCAAAATAACCACTGTTCACTTGGTTCAATGTTTTTGTTACAGTTCGCTCAGAAGTCACTTATTCAAGTATATTTCATTGAATGGCATCCGTAGAGTAAGTTAAATGCTTTATTTTCACTTCGTTTTCTCTAGATTTTGCAAGCCAACTGATGCCACTACTGAACTCACTCAAAATGGATACAATCAATTTAACATTTTGTGTCCACGATGCTCCAGTGTTGTCCTCCGCAAAAACACGGCAAAACTTGCCAACAAACAAGTAAGATTTAAGTATAGAGACAAATGTTTTCAGCTTGATTTGCAAATATTTTAGTAGTTTTTTGTCCTATGAACTGAGATTTTCGTCCCCAGGAATTTCAAATCTTATGGGGGAGTCAATTTTAAACGTGAAATTTAGATTAAGCTGTGGACGAGATTAATACGGCTTGTAAAGCAGCTAGACTATCAGGACATGTAGGTCTATACCTAATCAAAGTTAAGTCAGCAATTAAAAATGTACTCTATGTAAGATATCATGCACACTCCTATATCTCCAGTTGATGTGTGAAGCATCATTTGTGTGTAATGAGTGTTCTTTCTTCAAAAAGCAACTTATTGAAGCTTAATGGCAAGATACCTCATTTAGTACAAAGAATCTATAGTTGTAAGCAAATGAAGTGATGTAAATAACTGAAGCTACTTAAGAGTTATACACTGATATCAAACTGCTAGCTAAAAGAGATAAACAACTACAGTAAATTATTCCCCTTTAGCTGCAAGCATTCTACCCATGATAGTTTTCAAAACTTTGGAAGAGTTAAGAGACACTGGTACCAAGAACTGTAGTACGTTTCTTTCTCTTTTTTTCTAGTGGTAACAGCTCCCAGTAGGTATTTACCTATTTTTAAATTTAACCTTCCTAAACTCTTTAGTTGTGCATCATAAGTATATATTACAAAATCGATATATAAAACACGAATGGTTGTCGTAACCTCTTCCTGTCTATTTTGCGGAGTTCATCCATAGTAGTTTTAGGATTGATGGCTTGTCCATGTCAGTCCAGTCGTGTGGAATAGGAATATCAAGGTGAAACATTGCAAATAAATGCATCAGTTCAATTTGTTGAGTCCCGAAAAACATAATAGAGTAGTGCCAAAGTAATATATATATATATATATATATATATATGAAGTAGATTAGAGGAATTTCTTTAGTTTCCTGGTGATAGGTAAACAGAATTCGCCATGTTAACATAAATGTATGAAGTCAAATCAAGAGAAGCCTATAAACATTATTCTGTAACATCCATAGGGTCCATAGTATTATGTGTAACCCAGCTACCTCATTTGGGAAGACAAACTGCTTAGTCAATTTAATAGCGTCCTCTTCACCTAATTCTAGCATTACTTGTCCTTCAATCCCACCTGACCTTTTCAATGGCTATTTTTAATGGTTGCAAAAATTGGTGGATTTATTTCTTATTGGTATAAAATGTGTAATGTGTTAGTAAGTGCCATACAAACCTGTTTCCGTGCTGATTTCATCAAATAGCAGTTCGTTGGAAGTTGTGTTTATATTCTCAGTGATTGTATGGTACCTCTTGGTTGATGGATTTAGACATCCGCTTCGGGTTAAGAAATGTGACAAGTGGTTGAACTCCAGAAAGTACGTGTATGTTCCAGAATCTGTCAAGCGGGATGGCTTAAAGCCTGTTTGATTTTCTCGGGTTTGTTTCTGTCGAGCACCATCTAGTCTACGCAGGATTAAGAAACCTGAAATTCTAGATACTATGTTAGTCCAAGAATATTTGTCTTACCTCCTATAGGCCCGGGTAGTAAATGTTTCACGCGCCAGTTCAATGAGACTGTCTATGATATCTACTCATATCGTAGTCGATCTAGTCGGTAATACATCAGTACAATCCTTAAGCACTTTTAGAGTCATACTGCCAGGTCATTTCAGACTAGAATAAGCTTTTACAAACTTAGATGCAGTTTAATGATTAATGTTTGGGAACCATTCAGGTTAGTGCTGGATACTGGATAACTTTGTCGAGAGTGCAGCTATGTTAAATCCGTCCTCATGGTGTTCTCTCCAAAGTCCCATTTGTCTCTCCTGAAAAGTAGTAACTGAAGGACTATTGTTTTCATAATTTTTTCACTTACCATTAATTAATTTCAGATGCGTAGGGCAAAAGAATACGCGCACTGGTGATTTGAAAGTTCGAATTTACTGTAAATATTCCACTTATCTATCTTGTGTGCATAAAATAGGTGTAGGTGTTTTCACCTACACCTACCTATCACTTAACTTGAGCTGTTAGATCATTTCGTATACTTACTTGTCTTCTCTTATTGTTTACACTCAAAACCAACAATTTTGATAGTGTAATAAAGTTCTTTTTGTTATTTATATGAAATTTATTACATCCATAGCATCCAAATTAGCTCCATGATATCCAATGCATAAAGATCGAATTTCTAAAACACTATGCACCACTTATTGAAAAAGGAAAAATGAACATTTCTTAAATGTCAATATAATTGCGATTAATGCTTTTGTTCTCATTTTTTTTCTTTTGTAGCATGATTTACCGGTGTTGGCCAAGAAATCTGAACTTTCCGACCCTTCGAAAGAATTTCCCACAGAATTGACTGAGCAGTTTTGGTGTGTTAATGATATATACACATTTGAAAACGTTGGATTTACAAACAGTGTTAGCACATTTCGCTATTTAACGTGTGCTGACTGTGAACTGGGGCCATTAGGATTTCATGATACTCAAGAGGGTCCACCTAATGCATACTACATTGCACTTACGCGTACTACAACTGAGACTAACAAAAATGATGGCAAGTGATTTCAAGCACAAATGTAGAAAAAAACTGTGATGCATCTACCCGGTACCTGATGTAAACTTTAAATATGTATTTTTCAAAGTTTCCTAGAGTACAGCTGTTGAATTTCCATGTAATAAGCTGAGTGACTTTTCGGATAATTCAAAATAAATGCTTGTTAATCCAAATACTTTTGAATCCGTAACTCTCTCAAAACCTAAAAGACAATAGTCATAAGAGCGACAAAAGCCTAGTAAAGTAAACATTTAAAGCATCGATTTCCCTATTAATTATTCACATTCATAAATACAGTGTATTCCAACGTAAGAAGTGCCATTCATCTCCGCATTGGGATTTAAATAACTACCTTACCTTAATTCACCACTTGATCAGTTGTATTCACAAAAAACGAATGTAGACGTCATTGCAATCGAAAGTCATATTTCTGTTTAAATATACTATTTCACCCGAACAGATAAAAAACGATAATAATAACACATTAATCAAGGTACTAAAAATAAAAACAAAGTAAGCTAACAGAATTAAAAGCGTCCCCAACCAAGAGATATTCCACTCAAAACAAAAAGCCGAATAAATACATCCAACCAAAAGAGATATATGCAAGCCATAATACCTTCTTGACTTGACACGTCACTCGTCGTCCTCCCCTGATGTCTGCATCTTAAGGCATTCTAAGCAAAATATTCGACTGACGAGCAGACATTATTCTAAGTGTGCAGAGTTGGCGAGGACTTCCAGCCAGTGTCATCAAGACACCACAGCCTGTGTGAAATGAAATCAGCATATAAACAAGGTGTAGGCTAGACGTGGAATATCGGGCTAAACAAGCTGATCAGTTGATAAGTTTGTTGACCGTCACCGACTAAATTGACAATCGTGTATGTTATGCATCCCGACCCAGTCGTCGTCACCATATAGCAAGCATCACTTCACTATCCCTCTGACTACTGACTAATGTAGATGGGCATTTCTCTGGGGGTCAGTCAGATGACTCAAAGCCTTGCTCAATACAAACAACAGCGACAGCACAACCACTAGCACCAGCGCCAGCGCCAGCATCCACAACAATACCAACATCAAAAGACAACAACTAATGATAATAATTTGCTTTATTCCAAAACAGTACTTGTGATACAGAATGGAATTCTCAGCATTTTACTACAGTATTGCATCCAGTTAGTACATTAACAATACATAAAATTCTACATAGATTAAGGGTAATCTCAGTTTTGACAACAACATATTGGCATGTCGGTAGCAAAGCCAAAAGTGAACAGAATGTTTGAAGGTGTTAGAAAAGTAGATGCTAGCAAATTTACTGGCGTAAGCGGTAACAAAAAGGTCGAGATATACAGAGTGTGAAAGAACGAAGAAGAATGTTTTAAATAGAGTTTGTAAGGAAGAAAGAAACAAAGCAACACATAACAGAAAAAAAGAGAGAGAAAAGGAAAAGAAAGAAAGAAAACGTTGTACCTATAAATGATATGAGTTGGAAAGACGAGATCCAGTTGTTCTACTGACTATTTAATAAGTTATAGGTATCACGTCTGATGCTTTCTTTATCGCACAGAACACGAGCTAAGTAGGGTATGGTTGAGTTTTTGTACTTGCTAGTGCGAGCATATAGTTTTCTCTATAGGCTTCTGGTTCTGCCTGATGAGATACAAGGGGAAAGTTGTGAATGAAGAGAGTGGTGTGAGTTAGACAGAGTGGATTTAGCCCATTTTTCATATGAGTCCAAGTGCCTGTCGACCAGAATATTAACAAGCTGGTTAAGTGGCACGTTGCTTACCCTGCTGACAACCTTTAACATCCTGCGTAATAAGGTATAGTCTTTCTTCATTAGCCTTGGAAAAGCTAAGTGGGAACAATAGAGAATAATAGGCAGAATGTGAGAGTTAACGAATCGTAGGAGTAAGGGTTGGGTTATTCCAGAATGTCTTAACTTCTTGATGTAGAAGGTAAGACGAAATATTTTCTTAGAAATCATCAAGATATGAGACGACCAGGAAAGATCAGCAGATAGAATGACGCCAAGATATTTAATTTCCGACTTGATTTCTATTTCAGTGCCATCTATGTTGCACACCTCGTGAGTGCTAACCAGTTTGTTTAGGTCAGATTTATGCCTAAAGGTGAAATTGACTGTTTGACATTTAGAGGGGTTTAAGGTTAGACAATTTTCCTTGGACCACTGGCTGATTTCTGATAAAAAGCCATTTAGTTTGGAGCAGTTACTTTGACATTTGACAGGCAAAGATACAATCGGGTCGTCAGCATATTTGACAAAATTAATGTCATTTGAAGATGGTGAGTCATGTAGAAAGAAAGAAAAGAGAAGTGGTGGGAGTACAGTACCTTGGGGGACACCAGCTCCAGTGAGCACAGCGGAGGAGGATTCCCCTTTGTATACAGTGTACTGCATTCTGTTTGAGAATTAGGAATGCAACCAGTTTGTGACCCAGGACTCAGTTTGTGTCATCGAGGGCTTATTTAGCAAGATACATCTAGGTGCAGAGTCGAAAGCAGAAGTGAAGTCGAGAAACGTGCAGCGAAAGTATTTGGCACCTTTATCTAATGATGAGACGATACTGTTGTGTAAGACGGCTGCAGCGTCTAAATTGTTCCTACCCTGCCTGTATGCAAACTATTTGGGGTTGTAGCGGTAAATAATTCCCCAAAATTATTGACCACAGCAATCATCACTCAACATTGGATGCTGACCATCACTGTTTAAGTCGACTTGTTTAGCTGAAGGCTTACGGTCAAGCATCCCCGCCATTTGGTGCTCCGTCGTGTCACGTGCGTGCACGATTACTAGCTAGCTAAGCATTCATTCCTACCCGCGATTTGGTCCCAAAATATATATCGTATTTGGACGACAAAATCTGGTCTTTTGCTTTACCATTTGGTACTCGAAGAACGAACACTATAGTGGTTGTTGGTATAAGATCTTGCGTTAGTATAATCCGTACAACTCGCGAACGTCGATACCTACAGCCCACCTAAACTGGTGAGCCCGACGTGATAGCAACGATTGGCGACCCACTGGTGATTACCGGCGAGTGAACGCCAAAACAACTCCTGATTGCTACCCTTTGCCTCACATACACGACTTGACGGCAACGTTATCTGGAGCATCTATATTCTCCAAAATCGACTTGGTTAAAGCATATAACCAAATCCCGATGGCACCAGAAGATATCCCGAAAACAGCTATCATCACGCCTTTCGGACTTTTTGAATTCCTACGTATGCCATTCGGCCTCCGGAATGTGGCCCAAACATTCCAACGCTTCATCAATGAAGTATTTCGCGGTCTCGACTTTGTATACGCATACTTAGACGACTGCCTCATTGCCAGTCCAGATGAGGAAACTCACCTTAGACACTTGGACTTGGAATTTGAAAGGTTACGCCAACATGGTGTTACCATCAATATACAGAAGTGTCAGATAGGCGTTGACTCACTCAATTTTCTGGGTCACACTATTGACTGTCAGGGCATTCGCCCACTGACTACTTCGGTCGATCACTCTAAAAAAACGCGTTCTGGACGTCACGTTAGATTCTCAGAATACCTTCACACCTATTTCACATAACTGAGTGACACATCAATTGTTTTTTGATGTTGCGTCATTTAACACAAGTAAATGATATTTTTCCTATAACCGTACATAAAATTAAATTAGATGCACATTTTTTTTCCCGATATTTTGAACTTTACATTATTTTACTGTATAGAAGTTGCATGTCATTTTTTTTTGAAAAAAAACGCTTATTTGGTACATTTTTCTTGACAAGGTTCTCAGCATTCTTGTTTTCTTTTCCAGGTGCAACGGGCACTGGACAGGAAACAAACGAAGCACGGGATCCAACGAACAACACTGAGGAAGCTTTGTACAGACACCCTATTAGCATAGGCAGACAGACCAGCAGGCTCTCGACCAAGCCGCTCGGAAGATTTTTTTCACCCATCAGGGAACCATCGAGATTTTTTTTCCTTCCAGCTGGTCATGTCTTAGGGTCCTCACAAACCCACTAGGGGGGGAGTGAGCTGTAGCGGTAAATAATTCCCCAAAATTATTGACCACAGCAATCATCACTCAACATTGGATGCTGACCATCACTGTTTAAGTCGACTTGTTTAGCTGAAGGCTTACGGTCAAGCATCCCCGCCATTTGGTGCTCCGTCGTGTCACGTGCGTGCACGATTACTAGCTAGCTAAGCATTCATTCCTACCCGCGATTTGGTCCCAAAATATATATCGTATTTGGACGACAAAATCTGGTCTTTTGCTTTACCATTTGGTACTCGAAGAACGAACACTATAGTGGTTGTTGGTATAAGATCTTGCGTTAGTATAATCCGTACAACTCGCGAACGTCGATACCTACAGCCCACATAAAGGGTCTTCAAAAGTTTTAAGGGAGGGTACAAGTTTAAGAAGTACTAGTTTTTCCAAACGCTTTAGAAAAAGGGAAGTAATGGCAACGGGTGTGAAGTTTACGTTCTTGATATTACCAGGTTTAGGGACAGGAACAATTTTAATGACATTCCATGCAAGAGGTACAACGACTTTGAAAGAGAAGCATTTAGGATGCTAAAAACGGAAGAACATAAAGTATCTGCACATTCGTTTAGAACATTAGCCGGTACAGCATCAACGGAAAAGACTGGGTGGGAGCTTGAGAGTTCTAACATATTTTACAAAATCAAGAGTACAAAACAGTGAAAGTTTTCAGCTACACGAACTGTAACGTTAGAAGTAAATATGCAAAAAGAGAGGGTTTGAGAGAAAGGCATCAAAAAGCTCACCGAAATATGGAGTTCACATTGATCCAATAATGACAAATTTCTACGTATGCTTAAATATTAATATTATTCTGTCCATTGACTGTAGTGTATTCACTGACGCAGTATTGCTCACGGTGGCCAACTATGAATATGTGCATCCTAGTCAATTGATTCTCTGAGAAGAATGACAGGCTAAATGTGAAAATTATCCTGCTGCAGGCTCACTGTCATCTCAATCTCCAGTGTGGCGCTAATCACAGACTGGAAGACGACTCAGTCTACCAGACAGATATTGTTGACTGAGTACTGGTCTGCACAGATGCATCCATCATTCGACATAACAAAGAGGATTCTTCGAGTAGATAGATGTCACTTATTTGCCACTCGGAATCACATCTAGCCGGCATCGGGTCCACTGAAATCCACCACAAGTCATACAAGCTTCTTCACTTGACTCGTCACTCGTCGTCTTCCCCTGATGTCTGCATCTTAAGGCATCCCAAGCAAAATATTCGACTGACGAGCAGACATTATTCTAAGTGTGCAGAGTTGGCGAGGACTTCCAGCCAGTGTCATCAAGACACC